AATAATTTTATTTTAGTTTTTTTAGTAAAATAATACTTTATTTATTATTAAATTAAAGTATAATAAAATAATTAAAAGTTAATTTAAAAAAATTATAAAGTTTGATTAAAATTTAAATAATTTTTATTAGAAGCAATTATTAATTTTTATATTGATATATTAATCTTCTTGCAACAATCTATATTATATATATAATATTCTAACCAGATGATTAATTATTTTTATTATTATAATTTTTTTTATTAGTTACTAAAATAAGTAATATGCTTTATTCTTATATCAATTAGTAATTAACTTATATAATAATATTAAAAAATATGATATTTTCACTCTTATATATATATAAAGTTAAAAAACAAATCTAATATAAATAAAAACTTTTATTATTTATATATATTGAAAAAATATATAATATATAATATATTATATAATATATTTATATTTTTATTATAAATAAGAAAAATATTAAAAAACTTAAAAAGTAAGAAATTTTGAAATCATTTAAATAACTTAATGATTGATTATTAATATTTTTTGTAATTGACTAATCATAAACTTTGAATTGTTAATAATGATATTATTAATAGAAATATCTTGATTAACTAATAATTGATTAATGATCTTGGTTAAAAAATTTAATAATTTTATTAACTAACAGAATAACTACTCAGAGGTTGAAGTGGTGCTGAATAATTTATAAAACATAAATAAGTTTATATAAATATTTAAGAGAAAAAAATCCTATTTTAAATACCTTTAAAAATATAAATATAATATAATAGACTATATATATATTTTAAAAAATAAAAAAGATAAATCGGTGGTACTAAATATAAAAATATTTTTTAAATCCATATAATAAGACCAATCTAAATAATGTTTAATTTCTTAAACCTGAGAATCCGAAGAACTTGTTTATAAAATAATGGATGTAATGCCCCATATGTTTTTATTACGAGTTACAATTATATCTGCTTCCCTAGGATCTACCCCCTTTTTATATTTTGTCACTAAGAAAGGACTGTCTTTGGTTAAATGGATAAGTTTGGTACCGGCTGGATTTTCAGAGGATCCTTTTATGGCCTGCAAGGCAAAAACAATCACAGGCTGAAAAGTCCAATAAGTAACAGGACCAGTTACTTTCTGTTTCCACTCTTCTCTTGTCTGTTCTGATATCTGGCTAGTATAAGAAAACCCTAGTTCTATGCTGGTATTTGATTCAACAACGCCAATATTCGCAGATATACTCTGAGTTATTTTAACCGACACATTCCAAGTCTTTACTGTTCCTTTAATTTTTTCAAAAGTATGTTCTTGCTCAAACTTCTCCGGTATAATCGTCTTGTTTATATACTTTAAATAAGAAAAAATGGGTTTCATACGAATATTCCCATCATCCAAATATGTCCAATTCTTATCTTTTATTCCACAGTACCGATTATCAGTATCTTGATTTATCAAGTAATCATCAAGTTCTTGGGTATTCTTTATAAAAGATTTAATCGTGACATCATCCAACGAAGGATACTCTGAATCGTATTCAATCCTAAAAACTTGACATTTGTTGTTCAAGTCACGAAGCATTCTTAGGTTAGCTCTTCCTTCATCATCAGCATGTATATAATATCCAGAGTTTCTGCTTATGAATCGTCCTTCATTATTGAAATAAAATACTTGACACTTGTCATTGGAACTAAAAAGTTGTCGAACATTGCTCCTTCCTTCATCATCGCAATGAACATAATATCCACTATTCAAATTGCGTAATGTGTATCCAGATCCGTCTTGTGGCTCTGCATAAAATAACTGACATTTGCTGTTGGGAGAATTCAACATACGGATATTGCCTCTTCCCTCGTCATCTGAATGGACAAAATAGCCAGAGTTGATATTAATCAAACGAAAAGGTCTGTAATTCTCGATCATGAGGGATGAGAAATAAAAACTTATAAAAGATAAAGGAGGACACATATCCACTCCTACTTCTATTTATAAAAAGAATGTCCCCAAATTTTGTGATCTAATGCATGTCATTGTCATGTTTTTCCATAGAATCATTGTACAATTAAAATTAACATATTCGTTTTATAACGATAGTCATGTATTGATTTTTTCGTAAACAAAGAATCAACTGCAAGATAGGAAAATTTAGATAAATAAGTTAAAAAAATTTTTCGATCCGGAATATATAATACATATATGCAGGTGGTATAATAGATAATCAGTCGGGGACAAAATAAGCCATCCAATAAATTAATCCAACCTAACGCCAAGGAATTTTTTTTGATAGATATTGGTCATCTGACGTTGAGATTATTTCAATTGGATATCTAGATCAAAAGTTATTAAGCAGCAAAGTTCGGGGTATTTTCCTAGCGGAAAAAGAATTTGAAACGTATAATTCTGGCCGGAATTAATAGCTGTTGCAAATGCAGAATTTGCAGAATCGATAATCTACACAAAGTTTTAATTAAATTAAAAATACCAAAAATCCGGTAACTTGGGGACGGTTGGACGTCAAGATAGTGTTCCAAAGTTACCGGATTTTTATCACCATAATGATCTACACGGTTTCTGTTTGCAGAATTTTTGCATTAAAACTAGAGCATGCTGATGATATCGATATTGCAGATTTTTTGGCCAAAACGACGAACACAACATTGTCGAGATATAGCAAAGCAAAGAAAGGTTGAAATTGTAATAAATCATAATGATCTCTCCGATATTTTAAGTTCAGATGATGGAGATAATACGAAGGATGAAGTGGAATGAATTGATGATGAACTTGAGAATGAGACAGAACAACTTTTTTTGATTCTAATGAAAATATGAAAGCATTATAACTTCCTAAGGATCCATTAATATATTTGGGAAACTCATGCACAACAAAATATTGGCAAAAAATAAAAGCATTAGAGAATCAAAAAAAAATGGGCAAATAATTTATCAATTCTTGTTAATGATAATTTTGATGATGATTCTAATACTTTAGGAATAAATGGCATTAGTTTATTATAATCTAAATAGTATATTGCCAGAATATGTGGAATCAGAAAATGATCACTCTATAAATGGTCAAAAAATTATTAAATATCAGTTCAAAAGATATCAAAAGAAATAAATATTAATAAGATAATATACTTATTATATTATCTAAAAATATTTTTTTTACTCAAATTATAATTTAAATATTTTTTACTCAAATTATTATTTAAATATTTTTTTATAAATAATTTAAATTTATTATCAAATTATATCAAAACACAAATTATAAAAAAATTTAATTTTGAAAATTATTATTTCAGAATAAGAAAATTATATTAATAAGATTATGAGTAATTATATATATATGAGTAAATAAAAAATTTTAATAAATAAATTAAAATATCAATTATAGAATTAATTCTTATTCTTAAAGATACTAATTAATTATTTCAGTCTCATAAATAAAAAATACAAGTAATTTTAATAAATTTGAATCAAATTAAAATTCTAAATATTTATATTTTTAAAAATTCAGATATTTTATATAATGAATTTAAAATAATTATATTTTTGAATTTATTATTATTAATTTATTTATAATATTTGAAAAATATGATTAGATATATAAGATATTGATTTATTCAAAATATAAGAATAATTATTATTTAGTTTTTATCTAGATGCAAAAAAACTAAATTATATTAGTTATAATTATTTAATTAAATAATTTTTATAATTTTAAAAACTTTTAATATTTTATTTATAAGTTAATTCTAAATTAAATAATAATAAAAAAGTAATAAATTTTATTTATTAAAATAATAAATATCTTTAAAATAATTTTTTATATTTAAAAATAAACTTTTTTAGTATTTAGTAAAATATTTATTATTCAAGAAAATATTTTTTAAAAAATATCTGAATTTTATTATTAAAATATATACTCTTTACTAATATAAAATAATAAGTGATATTAATACAAAATAATATAAGTTTTAATATAATTAATAAAACTTATAAAGAATTACTTAAATAAATTTTCATTATATTCTTTATTTATTTTATAAATTAAATAAATTTCTTTATTAATATAAATTATTCTGAATATAATTAATAAATCTTATAAAAAAATTACTTGAATAAATCTAGTAAATTCTTATTCTTATTATCTCATAAATATATAATTAATATAATTAAAACTTTTTATAATAAAGATATTTAAATAATTTATAAAAATTCATTATATTAAAATAAAAAATTTTAATATATATTAAATATTAATTAAGTATATTTAATATATTATAGCATATAAATATTTTATGAATTAGAATTAACAGATCAAAAGAGTTAGTATTAATTAATGATATTATATAATCTAAACTTTTAGAAATTATTCTGACAGACTTTTATTATAAATAATAAAAATTAATTCTTGTTTATTTATTATGAATACAAATAAAATTTTCTTTATTACTTCTTTATATTTTATTATTTATTATTCAATATCTAATAATATTCTTACTTAGCTTAATTTAATTATATTTTGTAAGATTATTTTGTTAATGGTTGTAAACAAGATAAAATGCGATATGAATAAGTTTTAATTTTATAACTTA